AGTATTACATACATAAAATAATAAATTTATTTGAAACGGACAGAATCTTTATCTTATTTATAATATTATGATATAAAAGAAAATTGCAACTCAACTCGAAACAGAGCGGTGGAATAATTGGTTGATACTTATGCTGGTCTACAATATTTATCCCTTTTTTCAGATCATTAGATTTTTTGCTTTTTTTATTATACAATGATTATCTGTAAATATAGTACTTGTAATGTTGCGCTCTTAAGCACACAAAAGATGAAGGCATTTGCAGGTTAATTAGTTATACTTATATATCATAAGAAAGAGAAAAAAAAATGTAAAGTTGAATTACGAATGGCTCTAAAGAAAATCTCATCAAATAAAAAATACATAAATGTGCCCCCACATTCCTCATGAAAAAAAATATACAATAATATAAATTTTTATGTATTATTTTTAGATTATATTCTTTTAATTAACTATTCACTTTTCATTTCTCCTCGTCTTTCTTTCCAACTACTAAATAGAAGATATGTTTTTATATTAATTTTATAAATAAAAAATGTTTAATTTCTAATAAATTAAATATAAATTAAATTCATATAAATTAATAAATTAAATATAAATAAAAAATGTTTGTTATAAATTAAATAAAAAGTATAATATGCCTTTAAATACTTTATATACATACCTGCTGAAACCAATAAAGAATGCTTTTACATTCCTCCTTGTACTTTGGCATACATATCCTTTATGCCAATTATCTCGCAACACGCTTTTATCGCATGATGACAAACAAGCCATTATCCTTCATGAATTTTCTTTACAAATATTTTTATATTCTCAAACTGTGTAAAGAAATCATGTAACACTGAAAAATACAAAGTGATATTAAAGAGAAGAAATAAATTTTATATTATATAGTATTGACAAGTATTTTCTTACCAGTGTGTTCCTTATATGTAGGAATATACATTAATCTTTGACCAGCCCTATTTTTAATCGTCTTTAGGGATGCTTTGGCTTTTGATAACGCAAATCCAGCCAATCCATTTCCATTCCCAGTTACTATAAATGAATTGATTCTAGTCTTACTGCTAAATTACTGGTCATACAAGTTATCATTTTGTTTTCCAAAATCCAGGTTTCAAAACTTTCAAATGTATCTGCAGAAAACAAAGATATTAATTATATAAGATTCTAATATTTAGAACTGAAACATCAAAAAAAAAAAATTGAAAATAGACATCGTATCACATGATTTTTGTATGTGTGTAATTTAACCATTATAATCCAATAATAGCATAAATATTAACCTTTTCCAATAAGATCTGATTCAATGCTTCTGCCATCCATTGTAACACTCCTCCAACCACATTCCAATGGCGATAATTTTATTTGCATTGGTCTGGTCTGACTTTGTGTAATTCCATAAGTTTTTGCTTTCTTTCAAGATTTACAAGCAGTTTTTAGCTGTTGAATTAATTCTTTTCTCTAAACACAGAAGTGTTCAGACCAGGAAATTGTATCGGAATTTTTCCCATGCCAATAATTTGCTCCTTATTTAGGTTCTCTTTTCACTACTCTTCTTGCTCTACTCTGCGTCTTCCTGCATTACTGATACTTGTCACCCTTTCATAATTCATCTTCAGGTCCTATAGAACAAAAGCACAGTGAAATACAAACTATTTTCTACTGTAAATATAAACTATTATCAAAATGCTATATCCATAAAAGTTCTACTTACTATTCGCAAAGAACATAGAGTTTCTCACATTATTTAATAAAGTGACTATTTTTAATAAATGTGAATGACTGACAAGCAATAAATTAAACAATATTAAACAATAATATATACCTGAAAAAAATTTCATAATTTTATTAGAATTAAATTGATAAATTAATTCTAAATACATATTATATGTTAATTACATATAATGATTTAGAGACAATGATATATTTCATTTGCGTTACCATTGTTTACAGATTGAACATTTTTATCAAATTATTTACAACTCTACAAATATGTAGCATACGACAAGCCATTTTTAAAATCTATAAAACAAACAACAAAATTGTTCATAGTTTTCACTCTGTTTTGTCATAGTCTGCTTTTAGGCGATCTCTGAAAGCGATGCATCCTATAAACAAAAAAATAATAACATGAACTACGTAGTCAAATCTACGAATGTTCAATGGTAACATAATTTCGATTATATTCCATGCCTCGTACACTTTATTAATGTCGATAACATAAGCAAAACGCAAAAGCAGTAACATATAAGCAGTAACACATAAGCAGTAACGCAAAACGTTTGTATATATTAAATAAATTTGTAATATAAATAAGTTTTGTGATCTCTCTCTCTCTCTATCTATTTATCTACTATCTATCTATCTATCTATCAAGTATAATTATTAAAATATATTACCCGATATTATATTATATTATATATTAATCACACATTATCTATCACCACCATCGCCATTATTATATGTAATTTAATATATACTACCGTTTAATTAAAAAAATATTTGCCTCAATTAATTTCAATCAGAAAGAAGAATAAGAAACATCATAGATCACTTGGGTAATTCTTAAAGGCAATACGCCCTCTGAAATAAAAACGTGGACATGAACTACGAAGCTAAATCATGAATGTTTTCAGTAGGTAACATTATTTTGGATTGTTCCGTCAGTAACACAAGTATCGATAATGCAAAAACGCTAAATTTTAATACAAATCTAAAGTTTTGGGTGGTCTTTCTCTCCCTGTATTAATAATATAATTAATTATTAATATATTCCTTGATACAATATATTAATCACACATCATCCATCATCACCATCGCCACCGCCATTTTTACGTGATCTTTATCACAACGGTTCATCATTGAAAATAAATTATAACACATAAAATATTCTAGTTTATTTTTAAATATTATTTTTAAATATTAAATAATATAAGTATTAAAATTAAAATAAAAAATTGGCTCAAATAATAATAATTAAAAATTAACTAAACAATTGATAACTAAGAACCAATAAAAAGCGCGTTAACTGTAGCACAAGAAAAAATCCTTTCTCATTTAATTATTATTATATATTTCAAATTATTAGTATATTTCAAATTACTCGTCACAATACATACAATAAATACGAACGTTTCGGATTATCTTTTAATCTACCTTCAACGTGACATTAATATTATTACACATTCGAAAATAGTAGACAATGGCATATGAAAAATTATATAAATCAGATGCAGATAGCATTTGTAATATCTGCATGCCGATTATGAAACGATTTATATAATTTCATATTTATTCATATTTATATAATTTTATATGTTATTGTCTAATATTTTTTAATAAGTAATATAATGATATGCCGTTAAATTTCTTTTCTAGATGCGATCGCGATCAACACCGAAAATTATTTATTATAACTATATGATTAATTAACTTTTATAAATAACACATAATTAATATCTATATACAAATCGCGACAAAAATTCTCTATCGCATTTAATCGTAATTTATTCATTTAATCAACTAAGAATTATAGTAACAGAAATCTAAAATAATAATTTATTATTTCGATATGAAATCGATTTTTACGAGCAGAAATTATTTCTTTACTATTTATAGATATTTATAGAGTCAAATACAATATATCTGCGATGCTTTATTTTTCAATCATTGAAATATTTTGAATTGTGAGAACGCACAATAAAATAATTGAATCTAAACATAATGAAACACTCTATACATCAATCTTTTAATAAATAATCCTATAATTAAAAAATCTATGTAATCTAAAATACTGTTATATACTTAAATATATTCCATATATACATATATGTATATATTAAAATACGTAAAATATTTCGATGACGAACAAACAATAACCGACCTTGGTGGCGTAATAACGCGCTAATGTTTATATGCTATAGTCTTGTAAAATGTTTCGATAAAAAAATAATAATAACACGGTCTTTCGGACTAACTTTTTCGGTTCTATTATTATTCGCGCGTCGACACTCAAAGAGTAAAGTAGTGGTATACAAGACGCTCCGTTAAATCCTTTTCTAGACGCGATCGCGATCAATATCGAAAAATTATTTGCTGTATTTATTATATTATATTATAATATAAAATATAATACAATGTAATACAAATATTTCGATATGACGAACGAATAATAACATGGCGTTCGAACTTGACGTAAACAATAGCGCGCTAGTCATATGGTCTTAGTATCATTCACAAAGCGACACTCAAGCAGTAAAGATCGTAGTGCGAAATATGTCGTATATTCTTATATGTTTATATGCCATAGTTTTGAAAAATGTTTCGGTACAAAAATAATAATAACACGGTCTTTTGAATTAATTTATTCGGTTCTATTATCGTTCGCGCGATGACACTCAAAGAGTAAAGTAGTAGTACAAGACGCTCCGTTAAATTCTTTTCTAGACGCGATCGCGATCAATATCGAAAAATTATTTGCTGTATTAAAATATGTAAAATATAATATAATAAATATAATATAATATAATATAATATGATATAATATAATAAAAATACGTATTGTTTACGACAAGATATTATTATCTGTTTGAGAGAGAGATTGATATTATTATCTGTTTGTCATCGAAATATCTTACGTACGTTAACATATTTATATTACCTTATATTGTAATATAAAATATAATACAATATATTTCGATATGACGAACGAATAATAACACGGAATTCGATCTTGACGTAAACAATAGCGCGCTAGTCATACAACGTTATGGCCTTCGTATTATTCATAAAGCGACACTCGAGCAATAAAGATCGTAGTGCGAAATACGTCGTATATTCTTAAATTAATTATTAATTAAACGATTATTGTATCATAACTTTCAATTATATTAAACTTTCGACTATAATCGTATTAATATACATGTATTGCATATATATATATCAATAATGAAAATAACAAATTCATTACGCGTAATAATTAGTTTTACAAAATGAATTATTTTGAGTTTTATAAAGAAGATTTATAATTATATATCTATTAATTATATAAAAATTATATATAATATAACCCTCCCACGGGGTACACCTTGTCGCGGTGGGAGGGCTTAGTACTTGGATGGTGCCTTGAAGTTTATTTTAAATTTTTTAATTTAGAATAAATCTCAAGGAGCCTGAAGAGGAAGCTAAGTACCCTTTCGCGTCGTCGGTGCCGTCAACGTGTCGCGGACGGCGGCGTCTCGTTTCCGCGTTTTCGCGTTTAGCTTTTTCGCGTCATCGCGTTATCGCGTTTTCGCGTTGGACTTTGTCGCAATCCCACTTTCACAAGTGAAACGGGATTTTCGCTCGTACCGAAACCGGGAGTGCCGTTTAAAGTATATATATATTAAATATATACATCGCGCGACAAAACAGAAAATTTTTAATCGTATCGAATAGTGCGGGAGTGCCGTTCAGTATCGCGCGTAAAAGTGCGAAAATAGCGATATAAAAATATCGCACGTGAGTGCGGGAGTGCCGCTAAAAGTATCACGCGTCTAACTGAGAGGAGGAGGAGGCCTAGGAGAGGCATCAGGCTCCGGCAGAGCAACCTTCTGGTAAGCAATTTATTTATTTGTAATTATATATTAAATATTAAATATATTTATTATAATTTAAATTAAACAATTAATCGCAACAATTAATTTGATTTGTTTATTTATATGATTTAAATAAGAGAGAATTAAAGAAAAAATTTTTAAATGAAAGCTATAATCTTGTAAAGATGTAAGCTTTTATAAAATTATAAGAGAATTATTAGTAATGTTCTTTAAAATTTATAGAATTATTTTATTAATCTACTATTATTATATGCATCGAATACAAAATTCAATGTATACAATAATTTTTGAAATATTAATTATTTTGAACGCTATTACATTAGAATCTTCTTTTGTTTGTAGATCGATGCGATAACCCTGATGATGCAACAATCCTGATGATCTGAGAGGAGGAGCAGGCCTAGGAGAGGCATCCTGCACCAGCGGAACAACCTGATGGTGAATATTTATTATTTATATATCTACTGTTAAAAATCGTACACACAATAATACGGTTTTATTATTTAAATGAATTAAAGAAAAATTAGAAAGATTTTTATAAAAATTATATAAAAGTTTCTATATATGTAATTAAAAGATAGTTTCAGAATTTATAAAATTTTTCCATACATGTATACAACTGCTTATTATTTTATACCGGATATGAAATTCCGCATAATAATATTTTTTTGAAATATCGATTTTGTGTATTGTTATAAATGAATTTATATATTTGTATGTTACAGACAACGAGCTTCGATAATAACAACTCCGCTGTTGCGCATCTGTGCCGGTGAGTGAACAAAAACTTTTTACTTTGAAGTAACGGATTCGTAGAGATTGTAGATGTAGATGTATATGTAGATTGTAGATTGTAGATTGTAGGTAAATCCGTTGCTTTAAAATGGATGAGTTAGGATAGATTGAATTAAATAAATTTTTTATAAATTCTCTTTCGAAACGCTTTGCATTTAAAAATATATTTAAATATTAATTAAAAAAAGAAAATCAAGAAAAGATTATTTTCATTAAAGATTTTGTGTCTAATTTATTAAATAAAGAACACACATTAATATTTTTATCAATTTTATTAATTTCTGATGCTACTTTATTTTTATAATGAGTACTTATCTTCTAATTTCTTATTCATCGTAGCTCATCCATCGTAAAATTTGTCTGTAGATATTATTTTTAAACTTTATTTTAATTTAAGATAAAGCCAAATGATTCATTAATTAAATAAATTGTAATATGATAGATGTTATACACACTTTAATTTTATATTTTATTATAAATTATATATTATTATAAATATTTACTAATTATATATATTATTATAATATCAATCAATTTTGATCGATAATCTGCACAGAGACTTTTATATTATAAGAATTCTCTACATATTATACTAAATTGCTAACAGTTGAAGTTATGTTAAATTCTGTGATACCCGACATAAATTCTGCCCAGTTATAAATGGTTGCCCTTGCTTTATCATGAGATATGATCGTGTTAGCAGTCTAATATAATATATAAACATTTATTATAATTTGGCTTTATTTTAGTTAAAATAAAGTTATATTCAAATATATAATATCGTTCGATTTTACAATTGTTATATGTACAATTGATGAGCGTGAAATATTTACGCTCATTTGCTGGTAATCAGTCGGCAAAAGAAGGAGTGTTTATCTCCTTTTTCGATCTCTGATTAGAGATCGAGCGAGATAATGGTCAGGACAAAAAGTAGGTTTAACTGGCCTGAAGAGCACGCTAGGGCACGTTAGGGTACGCGGTTAGGGTACGCGATTAGGGTACGCGGTTAGGGTACGCGGTTAGGGCACACGATTAGGGAATGTAATTAAAATATAGGGCATTGATTAAAATATAGGGAATGTAATTAAAATATAGGGCATTGATTAAAATATATTAGAGAGAGGCTCCTTAAATCTCGAATAAGTTTCGTTTAAAATAAGTTAAATCAAGAAGTAGGGTTGTTGATATCATAGGATTGATAGGGTTGTTAGGGTTGTTGAGGTCATTATTTCTTTCAATATTTCAATTTCTTTCAATATTCCAAATATTCTTTCAATTATTCCAATAATTTTAGAGATAAATTAAAATTATATAAAAAAATTAAATTAAATTTATTTTTAAAAATATGTTAAAAATGAAATTTAAATTATCAAAATTATTTTCAAAAAAATTAAATAAATTGCCTAATTATAAATATTTAAAAAATAGTTTAACATATTATATTTCATTTTTAAAATTAAAAATATATTATATATATATATATATATATATATATATATATAAAAGTTACATAATATTAAATCCAAGTGTTAATGCTGTTAATATCAAATTATTCATGTTTTTAAACATTTAAATAAATCGAATATATTTATTTGATATTGATAGTATCATAAATTTGTAACTATAATAATTGTAACAAATTTGTGACTAAAATTGTAGCAGTTATAATTGTATTTTAATTATGATTTAATATTGATATTATAATTGTATATGAAATACAATTATGACTGTAATTTATATTATATTAAATTGTATTTATGATTATAAATTATATGAAATGCATTCTTATGTAAATTATACGAAAAATGATCGAAAGTATACGTATAATGATAATATAACAGAAATTCATTAAACATATTTTTTCTATAGTATATATTTTTAAAATATTCATAAAATTAACTGTGCTTGTGTTTTTATATCAAAGAGTCATTAATAAATTCGAGAAATTTTATATATAAATTTTAAATTCATATAATTTTATATATTTCAATTTTATAAATATTAGATTATAAATTTTACAAATGTTGCTAATTTTTTTATATTAAATATAAAAAAATATCAAATATAAGAGCAAAATATAAAATGCAAAAATTTGATGTTAAATTAATGATTAAGTATTAATTAAAATTTAACACCTTCTATTTTATAGAATCGCATTTCATTTATTATAAATTTAATGATATATATTCATTTTATCTATTTACGAATTCTATATCAGAACTAAATGTAAAGTAAATTAATAAATTACGATTACGAAAATATCATATTTTTTCCGCGGTTTTTTCGCGTTTTGTATATTACGAAATATCATTTTTTTCCGCGGTTTTTTCGCGTTTTGTATATAAATTTCTTAGATGAGATTGCCGTTTTAATTAAAAAATCTTATAACTGTATCTCCCTGTAATATTGCTAAATATTACTAATTAAATATAAAAAAAATATCGAATAAAAAAGTCGAATATAAAAGTGTGAAGATTCGATGTTAAGTTAACGATTAAATATTAGTTTAACAAAATTTAACAATCGTCTTCGATATTATAGAATCGCGAATTAATTTTGAATTTAATAATTTCCTTTTAATCAGATTTATACATTTACAAATTTCATGTCAGAACTATTCGTGTACCAGATAATATTCGTAAAATATATTAATAAATTAAGAATGCGAAAAAACTGTTCTTCCCGCGTTCTTCGCGCGTTTATTAAACGAGATTGCCGTTTTAATAAAGGAATCTTATCGCTGTCCTTCTCGTGAGGTGACCATTAGTAAAAATTGCGTGACTCGTACCGGTGAAGAGTTGAAACGATTTTCATCATGGAGAATTATTTATTATCGATTCTTGTAAGATCCATTTGCGACGTCTAGTTCGATGTCCTGTTGAAAATTAGGAATTTTCATTGTAGGACTGTAATTAATCCCAGGTTTTCCTGGCAATTCCTGAAAGCAATGATTTCGGAGTAACGTCAACGACGAACGCCATACGCCTCTTTAAATCCGGATTAATTTAAATAATACATTTAGAAAAGAAAAAAATACATATTTTCTTCATTGAAAATGTGCTATCATTATTACTATTCATATTATTGTCTTAATACTAAAAAATCTTAATAGTAGATTACATATGGATATAATTATTGTATATAAATTTTTATTTTTCAAGTAATTTCAAATTGCAATTAGATTTTATTGACTTTTTTGATAAAAATGATTACGAACGAATATATTTTATTAATTAATATAATTTGTCTTTTTTGAAAAATTATTTCTAGGTACTGGGGATATTAATTAATTTTCAGTTTCTTTTAAGAAACTATTTGCAGATGTTGGACAGCCCGCCATTTTAGAAAACATTAATTTATATATATCTATATATGTATGTATAATAAAATACATGCACAAATTAACATATCCAAAAAATTTTTATAATTTTTCTTAATATTACATATGTTACGTGTATATGAAATTATATATATGAATGTAACATAAAATGTGCGAGTACTTAAAAATTATGAGACAAATCGAATGGGTACCTTGATAACAATAAGATATCGGCAAATTAATTTAAATGCTATTAAAAATAATAAAAAAGTAGTACATTGACTTAACTATTTGAAATTATTTGATTTATTTTATCTTACAAATTATTCGAATTGAAATTTTTGAAATCTTGCTGTTATGGGGTTTGATTCGTCTCGCGCGCGAACAGTTGGTACCCCAAAATTATTATACGTATTCGCACATTTAACACAAGTTCCAATGATGCATGTATTTCATTATTTATAAATATAATCGTTCGTAATCATATTTACATAAAAATCATTATATCCATTTGGTTTTCAATAAAGAAATATATTTTTTAATAATGATAGAACATATTTTCTGACGTAAATTTTAATCGTGAATTAAATGACAATGAGGGTAATTGTCGTTGATATATAACTGAAATCATTGTTATCGGGAGTAGTCTGGAAGATCCAGAATTCGTTCTCTCCTACAGTGGAATCCCTGACGTTTAATGGGTCATTTAACTTTTCTTCGCAGATCGTTCTTGCGAAATCTGATATAAAAACAAGATGTTAATTATTCTCCATCTTTAAGATCGTTCTCCTTTTTGTCGAATATTAACCGGATATTAATTATTATATTAGAAAAATTATATATTATCATATCGAAATTAAATATTCCAAATATTATCGATTTATTTATTCATCGCGTTTTTTCGAATTTTAAATAGCAATTTATCTTATAATTTAATCGTCAGTTTATATCGAAGTTCTATTTTTTCGCGTTTTTGAATATTTTCTTTAATAGTTTTTAATTATGCGCGAAATGTATTTTAGTCTTATGTATAGTAATTACAGTTATAATAATTATCTCGCGCGCGTGTCTATTGAGGATATTCTTCAGTTATTATAAAAATTATATGTATTGCAATCGAATATTCCGAATATCATTAATTTATTTATTCGTCGCGTTTTCTTGCGAATTTTAAGTCGCAATTTATAATCTTATAATTTAATCGTTAACTTACATCGAAACTTTGGCGATAACGCGGTTTTTTAATTTTTTTAAAACTCATGATCCCCATTTTATATTATTTAGCTATCATGTATGAGATACAATATATATATGTTATTCTCAATCGCGACATTCGTATAAAATCGCATGTTAATCACGAATAAATCGGACCTTGAATTTTATATTTGCAAACATTACATATTACATATATCGCGCGCGTGTATACTTCGATATTATAAAAATTATACATACCGCAATTGTCCCGAATGTCATCGATTTATTTATTTATCGCGTTTTCTCGCGAATTTTAAGTAGTGATTTATCTTATAATTTAATCATTGATTTACATCGAAGCTTTGTCTATCTCTTTTCGCGTTTTAAATATTCTTTAAATAGTCTTTAATAGTACAAAATTGCACAAATAGTATAAA